ATGGCTAATACTGGGTTGGAGTAAAAATATCAAAACCACTGCACTGCAAAGCATTGCACTAAGCTGGCCGATACGATCATAAGTTTTTACATTGCAACATAGTGTTGTAATGTTGTAGTGTAAAAAGCTGAAAGTCCCAGCAACTGGAATCTGTGGCGTGTTGGTTCCTGAAGTTCAGATAGTTAATTGTGCAGCTATTTGATGTGTTAGTTGTCGATCTCGATTTCAGTGATCTGATATATTCGCATACATGTGCAAAAAAGCACAAAAATGCAGTGGTGCAGTTTACGAAGCTGAGTCTGGAAGGGATGAAACAATGTGACCCAGCATGTGCTGACAAGTGATTTAAACTAGGCTGGATTGGGACAGCTTCATTATGCATAGATGAAAGCCAAATGGCAACAAATGGAACCGTCATATTTTGAAAAAATCAAAGTTAAGAATATACAGCAGTAGTGTTTTTGATTTACCACCAACTCATCGCACATCAAAAACACCAAGAGACTAGGATACTGGCATGTGTGAGTTCTGCAGTTGCTGGTTTGTCGATCCCTATCCAATATGTAGTAATGAAACTCAGGCTGGAACGCACCAGGCTTGCCTGTGCAATCATACGTTTTTGCACCAAATTCGCAGAGCGCCAAGAGCAGGAGTGATCCCTGTGCTGCAGCCTTAACAACTGGGCTCACATTGGCGTGCTCTGGCCTCTTCCGGTATGCAGCAGAAAGAGCGTCGGTTGGGCTGAAGGTGTTGCACTATAGGAGAGCGTGGACTCCAGGTATATGATTATTGGTTTTTTGCGTGAAGCCCGGTCGTTTTTCTGGTAAGTGCTCGCTCTTTGAAAAAATGCAAACTTCTAATTTACTGAAAAAGTGAAAATGCTGCTAGAGCGGTCGTTCGTCAAAAAATCCAAATATGCAGATAAGTTCATTTAGATGTAGGGGAAGGATGAGCGCAGTCGTTTGCTGCAAAATGCACTTATTTCTGATTTTTCGAAAAGTTCCAAGCAGAATTACGACTGCACGTGGAAGTAGAACATCCCAGCAAAGTTTCAGCCTCGCACCTTAACCAGTAAGCGAAATAGCCACCTCGTTACAAATATCTTTGAAGTGCCGCAAGTACAAATCGCTAATCATTTTAGGTGTACGATTTCCCATATGGGCGATAAACATACTGATAAAATTACAGCCACTGCTTTCTGGCAAGTTTTTCGAGTTAGCAAAGTGTACCAAGTTGCAAACTTTGACGTGATCGTACGCGCTGTACAAGCGTGCGCGACAGCTGAATTTAAAATCTTTAGCTCGCACATGCACAGAGAATATCCACACAAAGTTTTAGCCTTGTACCTTGCCTGGCTTGCGAAATCGTTTCCCGCCAAAAAAATTTGCATATTTTTTTCAGGAAATCCATACGCGGAGTCTAGGCGCGTATGAGTGAAAATTTTAAAACGAGAGGATGACAAGCGGGGTAGGAACATATGCTCAAAATTTCAGCCTCGCAGCTTACCTAGTTGCTGAGATGAAAGTGGGTGACAAAATTCGCTTCCGAACACACACAGACGACCTTTCGACAATATGCGTTCTTGCTCGCTGTGCTATAGTGCTGCCCAGCAAAACGCATAAAAACTAAAGCAAAACAAACATCTATAAATGGCAACTCGCACCAGACTGACCGGTGCGATCATGCGTTTTGTGCAATTCAGCCCATCGAACGATTGCCCGTTAATGATTTTCACTTCCCTGTACTTTAGTTTATGCAAAAATAGTTCAAACATTGAAAAGCAGTTAAAAATTTCACGCGA